ATATCACATTCAATAAAGCAGACAACTGTAATTTCACCCCCTCTCTACTAAAATCAATTTTCTATGGAAAGATTATGGATTATGACAATACTATTGAGTCTGGAATGTAGGAGTCTATCATCTTTACACGGAGGATTATGTATATTGTATTTGTTTCATCTGTTTCTGCTCTGTCTGTCTGTCTGTTTCAGGACACACACATTATTTGTGACGTCCATAAGCCCTCACCTCAACCTCCCCTCGACACTTTTATCTGGCAGGGGTCAGCAGCTCTTATAACACGCTCCCTCCAGTATTGTGAGCATGTGATATGTGAAATAATGAAATACTGTTGTGTTGTTGTTTTCCTGTATTTTTTGGGTATGTTGTGGTGCTCTGCATCTCAGAGCCACACATACCCAGTCCTTATATTGACACTGCAGGCAAGCAGTGCGTTCTTACTGTGTTATTGTTAAAGTCAAGGTGTGTGCATGTGCAGTCTCCAGTTCTACTATTTATGCATCGATTACATGGCCTGAAAACACACAGAAGAATTGTTTTATTTAAAACTGTACTATATTTTATAAGAATGGCATTTCGTGCACTGCAAGGACACCCACTGCCTCTGTATTTTAGTTTGAGTCAACTGATCATTAATAGTTTTTCTCTAATTTAAGTCAACAAAAACTAATTATGGACTCAAAATTGTTTGTAAATATGGTTGTTAATCCCAAACTCTGGCTGCAGCTTTGTAGCCAGTCTCATCTGTCCACCTACTGGAGACCATCTGGTCAAATGCAGTGTAGACAAAACACCTTACACATTTCGGCTGAAGAAACAACTCAACTTTACAGCTACAACCAAATACAAACACAGAGGTAACTTTTATTCTGAAAAAAAAAAAAGGTTCAGAGTTAAGGCATAAATAGAAACTTCTCAAACCACTCCTCAAGCATTATCATCCTCTGTGCCGTGAATCCATATTTTCAGCTTGTTCCAAACACTCATCATTTCTCCACACTAATTCCATCACGCTACCTCCTCAGAGCTCGAAGCCAACAAACTATTAACGAAGTGCTGATTGTTTGGAACATATAGGGAGCTAAAACTCTTTGGATGCAGGCTATTCTAGTAATCCATGAACACAGCCAGGTATGAATGTATTTTCAGCTAAGAAGATCAAGAATCATTATATAATTGGCATTTCATAACCTAATCTGTTTTCTGTGTGTGTGTGTGTGTGTGTGTGTGTGTGTGTGTGTGTGTGTGTGTCTGTCTGTCTGTCTGTCTCTCTCTCTCTGTGTGTGTGTGTGTGTGTGTGTGTGTGTGTGTGTGTGTGTGTGTGTGCATAAATGAGCCAGGTGTTACTACAGAATGGGATTCAAATGTGGTGTTGTGTCTCTATTGTTGGATTACTGTTTATTGTTGCGTAACATTTCAAAGAGAGCTGAATGGCAGATTGGCATGTTTAACTGCGTGCACTATGACAAGAAATCATCCCCCCACACACACATACACAGAAAGAAATGCACGTGGCACTACGCACTTTCAGTGGAAATCACAAATATTCTAGTCAGATGACAAAGGGGAGAGAGGCTTAACTGACAGACGTTAAAGACATTCCTGATGATCCCTTTCAACAACAAGGATCTGTTATTTTTCATTGATCAAAAACGTAATTATTTATTCATTCTTTTGCTCTCTTTACTATAAAATCACCGGAAATACTTCCGAATTTAAGTTTACCTGCTTGTGAAGAGACTAGAGGAGTGTTTCATCTTTTGTTTTAGGCTCTGTGGATGAAAACCCACCTGGATGTTGCATTTCTCTGGATTTACCTGACTGTCCAGGGTGACTTTCTTCATCTTGGATTTTATCCTTTGTGTTCTTTGGATGTTTTGAGTTGAGTTTAATTGCTTGGTGCAGGACTGGAACCAGTCTGATAAATGTGCCTACAATATCAGCTGTGTCTCAGGTCTTTTTCTCCACAGGCGTGAGTATTCAGGCTGTCCGGATAAAGTGTTTTTTTTCCCATTTTGGGAAGATCAAAAACACAAAAGTTGATCTTTGAAAGGTTTAGTTGGGACATCACACTGTGGGCATAAAAAAACTTTTTATTCCTTTGCATGTATTTCTGTATTTTGTTACTTTCTGAGAGTGTTGTGATCCGCCTGTACACCATGCAGAATAAGTCATTTCTGCAGGCTCGCTGCGATGAGCCTATAATGACAACAGACTGGGGCATCCCTCTGCTGCTGGCTCTGCTGCTGCTGGCGCTGCTCTATGCCTTCCTCTACCTGCCGGCTACAGCCCAGAGAGCCCTGCTGGAGCAGGCGCTCAGCAGCAATAACACAACCACTGCAATGACCACACCCGGCCAGGAGGACTGGTTCACAGAGGAATAGGACAGATGGAAACACTGGCAAACAGACAAAGAGCTTTAAACGTGGACAAGCAGACATGTGACAGCAGAGCGTTCACAGACGCTGACCTTGAGGAGATGGTGTGGATTACCCTGCTCTTAAGTCTGTCCTGTAACACAAAGCAGATTGATTGAGTTGTTGTGGAAAAACTGGCTGATTCAGTGGGCACTTTGGATTATCTGCACTCCTAAAACCATACCTATATATGACGGCATTTTACTCTGTATGAGCTACAAGTGACTGAATGGTATCAAAGGACAATCTGTGGTGGATAAAGAAAATCCTGACCAACCTTTCCTATCTTATTTTGACAGGAGAACGTTTTTAACTGCTGTTAATAGAGGGAGAGAGAGTTTAATGATAAACTGGGGCACAAATAAACTCACTAAACTATACACTTATTAGCGAGAGTCAGATGAGAAGATTGACACCACTGTCACGTCTGTACAGTAAATATGAAGCTACAGATAGCAGCCCTATTACCTAGCACTATTTTTTAACAGATTAAACAAACAATATAGAATGTTTCACTAGCTAAGCTAAGCTAATTGACCGGCACATATTAAGAGGTAGGCTACGTACGTTGTATAAATCTTCTCATCCTACTGTCATCAAGAAAAGCAAATAAGTCTATTTCCCCAAATCTTCGAAGTAATGCTTTAAAACTACCAAAATATGGTGTTCATACATATTATTAAACTAGCTCTTTTTGCTCCATTTGCTAATTTCTCTATATAATGTAGAGCATAAAGACTTACTAACTTAACTTGTTGTGTTTTTGTTATGAGCCACAATACTCTCAGTAATCCCAGTAGGCCTATTTCAATATGAGCCAAAAGTTTGAAGTGACACATACTGATCTGCCACAGATCTGGGTAGACCGGGTTAATTGGTATAAATTCCAATGAGAATTTGCTTCTTCTTTTTCATGTATTACGCTGGAGTATGGTAACAGATACTGGTGGATATTTGACATCTGAATCAGTCTCTTTGTATAGAAAACTGAATTGAAACACAGTGAGAATATATATATGTTAATAATAACCTTTACTGTTATTTTAGACTATAGCATAAGGAGTCATTTAACAAGTCATGGAAGCGCCAGCACCAGAGTGTTTCAGACAATGATAAAAGAGTGTTATAGTGTTATTATTTCTGTATTTTAAAGTGGGAGGTGTAGTTTTCTGTATATGCGTTTGCAACAGATTTACAAAAACATTTCGCTGAGGTACATGTGATATGACATGTTGAAATTGTCACCAAGGACATTTCTGTGTGTATTATTTTACTCATTGGCTACTTGTACAGTGTAGTTGAATATAGAGTTATGTTCTGTATTTAAACCAACTGAATAATGTGATATAATAAAACATCATAAAAAGATAATTTCTTCTCTATTTCTTCCAACAGAAAATGCTGTGGCTTTCTTGCCCGGAGTCAGATGCAGAGATTGATGCCACTCTCATATCTATACAGTAAATAACCCTATTAAAGGACCTGCGTGTAGGAAGTTTCAGACTGCAACTAACTGAACACCACTCGTGCCTGTATCTGACGACCTGGGAATGAGAATGGGATGTAAAGTGTGAATTATGGTGGCCACAAAACTTGGAAAAAAATACAAAAGGCCCCATTTTAAGCACAGTTTGGTTTGTCCGTTCTGGGCTACTGTAGAAACATGGCAGTTCAATAGAAGGTGACCCACAGCGTCTGTAGATATAAACGGCTCATTCTAAGGTAACAAAAATGCAACGATTCCTATACTCGGGTGATTATACACTAATGAAAAAATACCTTTGAATATTATATTCAATAGATCCTCCTAAATGTGGACCTTAAAGATACTTCCAGCAACTGGTTAGCTTAGCTTAGCAAAAAAGACTGGAAAGCGGGTAAAACAACTAGCCTGGCTCTGTCCGACAGTCCACCTGCCTGCACGTCTAAAGCTCACTAATTAACATGCTGTAATCAAAGTGAAGTCTCCACTGGTTGCCCTCCATAAGTGCATTACCTTCAGACTGTAGTTAACTGTCTCCTCGCTGTGTAATGACTCGACAAAATGGGTTACATTTTGACTTTATTATGTAATGATTTTACAAACATAAATGTATTTTGTAATAAATTAGCACACATTTTCAGTGGCTATTAGGAAATGTGGGAGCTGCACTTTTCTTTATGAACTGCAATTTTTATTTAATTAGCCGTGTGAAAAGCCCATTGCAGTAGTAAACTCTGCTAGAAATAAAAGTGTGAATTAGTTTTTCCAGGTTTCCAGAATTCCCTGAGTCTGGCTGTATTTCTAAGATGATAAGAAGCTCGTCTTGTCACTGCTTTCATGTGGCTGTTTAGACTAAGATCAACGTCAGTTATAATGCAAAGGGCGGCACCACAGGTCTAATTTAATATTTAAGTTTAATTTAGGTTAATTGTTAAAAATTGTACGGATGAACAAACTGGGTTATATTACGTTTATGTTTTCAAGTTATTACATAATGCAATGTTATTACATAATGTGTTGTTACAACAAGCATATTCCCCAGACTATGTCAAACTGTTGTTCCATGTGCATGCAGGAATATTTCAAAAGAGACATCTTACTGGTTGTTTGAATTGCCTTTATTAAAAGATACAGGATACTAGATTTGACACCAATATTTGAGGATGCAGCACTTGATCGTTACAGGCTGGGGCATTAGACACAGACAAATGTTTCCAGCTATCTGTGCCTTCAAAAATATCCCTGTAAATACTGTATCTGCAGTATATGGCAACCATTGACATCTGGATATTGCGTCAGTATCTTTTTTTTTCAAAATCACATTAAATTTTACAATAAAGTCGTAAAAAAAGGAAGAGAGAATCTTGCTAAACCATGCAACACCCAACAAGCCAACATTTACAGTTAGTCTTAGATCACAATGATTTCAAATGGTATTTCAATGTTCAATATGTTCAGCAACAATGACAATATCATATCCAAAGACTTAACACAGTAATATTTCCTATTTTTTTAAGGAGAATTAATTCATCCTTTAATATACTTCTCAGACAGTACTCCATCTTTCAGCTACCATCTTGAAATGTTTCATTAATGTTCAAAGCAGAATTTTATTCACATCTTGTGTCCTTGATATGGAGGTTTAGAAAGGGCTAATTTTGTTGGTTTTTTCACTGAGCAAATAGTATCAAATCCTTAAGGACATGCATGCATCTCTTTCTACAATATGCACAGTTCAGTTACAGTCTTTGATTGGTCTGCTCTTTAAAAAAGCTCCACAAAGACTGCTTTGAAAGCAAACTGCAATGTTAAAATACACCATGTCTAAATCTTTTCAAACACAATTCAAAGATCTTGTGTCTGTGAGAGGAGGTGATTCATTTTCTCATCCCAGTTTCTTAATGCTTTGAAAAGACAATAGTTGGATGATCAGAGGGTATTTTCTATATATTATTCTATTCTATACATTATTTTACTTCCTGTAGAGTTGATTATGTATACTGTATAAGTTATTTTCTGCATGAGTGTAATTTCAAAGTATTTGTGTTTGATTTGTTAACTGCAATTATAGGGCAAAACCATGAAAACTTATGTCATAATTTGAAGAATTATTAACATCATTGATATGAAAGTCTTCCTTCAAATCCCTTAATCAGATAACAGACCAATCAATCAATCAATACCCTATGCCATGGAATAAAACATACAGTTATATCTCTGACTCCCTAAAACTCTGGAAAAAGATGTAACAGAAAGAGAAGAAAGCATATGTCAATGTATCCAGCGTAACTACAGCTTGAGCCTGTCACACAACGTCTTCTTGTGTATATTTGTTTACAATTTGGCAAATTGGCACTGTTAGAAACATCCCAAATTAGCAATTAGCAGTTCCTGTTTGCAGTTTACCCATGAATGTACAGCCAACTGTCACTGGATTACTTTGATACTGAAGAAACTGTGAAAATGTGATGATCCTCAGCAAGTTAGGAACCTCTTTTTCCCATGATTTCTAAGAGGATTTATGGATGTAATGGATGTTATGCATGAAGATAATTATAGCATCGGAAAGTGTGAGTTGCACTGCATCATGTCCGTCTATATGAATTTTGATGCAAATTGTGCATTCCAGCGGTTTTTAAGTACCTTAATTGCTTCCGTGAGCTTCTCACAAGTGAGGTTTCCATCTAAATGTAGCACAAACTTTAACCAAAATTTTAGAAAATCAGCCAAAGAAAATGCAAATGAATGCACATTTCCTTCCACTATTGTTATGCAATTATTAGGAGTTGGGTAATAGAGATAAACAGCTGGTGGAAATACAGCATGTCTGTTAGTTTCATGTCTTAATTTGAGGAATGTTACAGTCTCCACACAGATCTGATGTTTTTGTCTGTCATTTTTCATCTCTTCAATGGACCTTAAAGTTACATACGTCATGATTCATTCTCTAACTCTGTTCCAATTGCACTTTTTTGCCTCAACGTCAGACTAGTGCAAAACATGTTTTTGATTTGGTTTTTCAAATTTTCAGCATCTCCCCTCAGGTTTTTTATGCACTTAGCACAGGTGTATCAAACCCCACCTACAACCTCTGCTGCAGCTCCTACCGTTGGACCGTGTTGGTGAGAGAGTAAAATCAGCTACATTAACTAACTTCCCTTTGTCTTCAAAACACCAACATGCCCCTCTCCCTTTCATCTCACACTGTATGTTTGTGTCATGTCGCTTCCCTCTGCGCTCCCCCTTTCAACTCTCTTTTAATGGTAAACCTTTTAACAAATGTTCCGACGTGTGAACCCATAATTCTTGCTGAGCATCCAAATGCAATCTGTATTTACATATTTCATCTCTTCTCTTTGGAAAAGTCTGTTTGACAGATATTGGATGTTTGTAATTATGCATTGTATATATTGTATTTCCCTTTGTGCCTCAGACTGACCACTGCTGCTTTATGAAGGCAGGGGCACATAAAAGGATAGGCAAGGAAGGGTGGGAGAAAGGAAACTAAGGGAGAGTCCAAAAAAAACTCATCATGTGGACAACTCTGGATGAATGGGATATGGATGTAGGAGAATCTGGAAAAAGAACATAGATGCAGGGACAGATGGCTGAGAGACGGGGGATTCTCTTCTCTAAAAGTCCCTGTCAGACATGGGTTTCAGGAGACCTGCATTAAACAGACAAGGAAGTAAAGGGTAGAAGAGAAGAATAAGGAGGAAGAGGAGAAGTGGAGCCTCCTGTCTCGGCCACTGCATTGGCTGCTCTCACGGGACGACGAGTAGGAGGGGGAGAGAGGGGAAGGTCAAAGGGGAAGGGAAGAATAAGAGTGAAAGAAGGGAAGAAGAGCATCATCTCTCTCACTCTCTCCCTCTATTAATTCCAGTCCTTCTTGATATCGAGAGCCCACTCCCAGTCCAAGTAGACATTCTTGTCGTCGTCGATGAAGCGGGAACGGATCCCATAGTGGCCACGTGATATCACGCCTTTGGGTGCCTCATCAACCGGGCATATGAACTCATTCTCTTCTGCCTTTGGGCCGTAACTTCCCACCATGCGCGACACCCTGTCCACTGCAGGAAGATACAAAATGGACACAGACAACAGAAGAGCCGGTTTTTATCAGTGTGGTAAAAGTGAGATTTTGGATTTAAAGCTGCACTAGGTAGCGTTTATAAAAATAACTTTTTGTTATAGGTGTTGAAATTTCACACTATATTCTGACAGTAATACATGAGAAAGATAATCTGTGAAAAAATCAGGTCCCTCTGGCTCTTCCCAGTGCTTCTAAAGGAAGTTACAACCATCCACAGCGCCTGAACGAAAACAGCCAATCAGAGCCGAGAAAGAGATAGTTGATAGTCTCATTCCCATTCTTGGCTCTGATTGGTTGTTCAGACGTGGTGGATTATTGTTGAAGAGTCAGTCCTGGATGACTGTAGGTCTGAAAAAAAAAGTATATCGTTGATCAAGATGAATAATACATTAGCTGAGTCAGTATGTATTATTCAGAATAGGGTAGCTTTGGCATATCATTTGCATTTGGTTTGACTATTTGACAGGATGTTACACCACCATTTTTCCTTTTTCTTTGTTCTTCGTTGGTCCAAACACAAGAAGAGATGGAATTATTTCATTTGAAACAATTTCTATGCACATTCATTATCTGCACTTAACATATATTTAATTCTCCTCATAAGCAGCAGAATTTGTTGCTCTAGTTTGGTTTTCTTGTCATTCCATTTAGCTAATTTTTGATTTCATCCTAATACATTTATTGCATTGTTGTTAATGCCACATGGTAATTTCTAATGGAGATATTAAGGGTGCAATGCAAATAAATCACTTTAAAGAAAAAAAACTGATGTGTTTTTGAAGAAGAAACACAATGTGTAACAATTTTTGAACAATGGGGCAGATGGCAGGTAAGTCCACTTATTCCCTCTCTGAGCATGTGATGCTCCTACACCTCGCTGTAAGTAGGAGTTGTTTGATAAATGTGTATTATCTTTCATTCCTCAGTTTAAAGGTTTAGTGTGTGAACAGTATTCATAGGTATGTTTTAATTTATAAACTAATGAAAACATGGATATGAATATTATATTCCATTTCTGACAATACATCATCTTAAATGTTACATACTGGACCTTTAAGTGTAATTCTTAGAGGTTTAATGATGCCCCAGAGTTTATAAGCTAGGTTTATGATGTATACATGTGTATTTTCATACACATAGACTTTCGTTGTACACTCACTTCTATACCAGATAAGTGGCATATTTTGAATTTTAAATGGAAATTGTTTGCATTCATCTTTTCATCCAGTACAATAACTGATGTTCAGCTTTTCTTCTGCAACAGCGGACATGATGGATGCTTAGTTGCATTTATAATTATCTGTATTTAGTCAAACTGCTAGTCATGAATGACACTGATGTGTTTAGTTGCTTCTTGTCACTTTGTACATTTATCATATGGTGGCTGAATTGAACTTACCTGTTATTCCTTTTCTCTGGGTCACCTGATGGTACCTCAAGCCAGCGACAATTTCTCTGTTCACCTGCAGACACACACAGAGTCATCAAATCTTTTCATGGACTTTTCTGTTGATCAAAAACAAATGTGGAGCACCAGGAAGAAACTCAAACAGAAAGAAGGTCAAACAAAACTGTAGTTTTTCTACACATTTTACATTTGAAGGGTTACTCCAACAATTTAGTATTGCACTTGGGGTTTGGGGCCTCATATGAGACAGCTTTTTACAAAGAATGGTTACAAAAGCATATGCATGCATCAAACTTAAAGAAACAGTGGATACTACGCGAGTTATGCAGCTTAACTTATTTTATCTATTCTATTCTTACAAACCCCCATCTTCAGTTTATAAAACAGGCTTTCTACTAAACTTTTTATCTCAAACCCAAACTAACATCATCAGATAGTTTTCTTTAACTTTTTAAGAGAATACATTTTTGATCCGTTTTCACAGGCTGAGTAGTAGTGTAGTAGTGACGAGTAAACTAAACTTAATGAAGAGTGCCCTTTTAACATTTGCATGTGAATACATTTTTTAGTTGCAGGTAACAATCTGTCCGGACCGAAATAGCTTTCTATGGGCTGCGTGTTTTTATTTTTCTGACAATTTCCATGCTTTCAAGAACATGTCAGGCAAAACACACACTAATGTGAGGAATGAGTGTTTGTGTCCTGGGTGAAGCCGCTTTAAAAGATGACAGTGACGCAGTTTGGCCAGCAGGTGTCAGAGCGGAGTCAGTAACTCTGAGCTGTTTGATCATTCTCTGTACATCTCCCTTTCCCATCAGGGCCAAGTCCCTGGAGTACTGCCTCCAGTCTACCCACACACATACACACACATACACACTGACCATGCAGTCTCTCCGTTTCAATAAAAACCTGCGTATTAAATGGGCAACTAGCCCCTACATTTACATTTCTATTTATGCCAAATAAAGTTCTTAGTGTCCATTGTTTCTGTCTTCATTTTTGATCAATTTCTCTTTTTTAATAACATTCATCCAGATCTTAGTGTGCTAGTACAGAAGTAAAACAATCTGAATCACTCTCAGACCATTAGGTTGTTTATTGATCTGGTATTCAGCCAGTTCTTGAGAGTTCTGCAGCAGCCCCACTGAGTTTTAGAGACATGATGAACAAACAGTAAAAACTACTGACAATTCACCTCTAACACCTCCTAAAACAAAACAGCCAGTAGTGAAGCAGCTTGCATTCCTGGCTTGATATTGTTGTTTGTTGGTGCATTCTTATTACTGTGGCTAATGGGACAAATGTAGAGAAATGTAATCATTCTTAATGTTATAATTGTTCCATAAATAATCCCTTTAGCCTCTGGGTGCACTCTTTCTCTCATGGATATCTGTACTGATTTTCGTTTCAAAAATAGTTTTCATACATCCCCAGTTTGTATTTATTTATAGAGGACATGGGGGACATGAGCTTGGGAAATAGCTGCTGTGTGTTTACATTGAGTGGTTTATTTGTAACAGAGCAGGGAAAGAGAGGAGAGAGGATGGATGTGTGAGAAAAAGGGGAGGGTAACAACAAAGATCTGACAGATAGAGCAAGAGACAGACAAAAAAATGTGGAAGAAAAAAAGGTCAACAAACACTGATAGAGAGAGAGAGGCTGGGAAAAGTGGCATTAGTGGGAACAGTTAATGAAAATTAGTAATTGATGTGCGTTTTGGGTTTGAATCACAGTTACTGCTGTTTTCTCCTTTTTTATATCACACCAGAAAATAAGAGTTGTGTTTATAACTGGGAAGGATTTGGGGCTGTTGTCTTTGACAAACTGAGTGTAACTTTCTTAATCAGTTGACAACTTTGTGACCACTTCGGTTCGTCTTTTTGGGACAAAATGAAGCATTAAGAGCAGCAAACAGGAGTAAGGGTGGTACCAACCCTGTCCTCACTATGGTTGTGAAAACAGTGTTGGAATTTTACTCTTATCTACCTCTGATAGAACTAACAAGCGAAGAAGAAGAGTCTACAGCCATGATAGGGTCTTTGTGAGGCTAACCAAACTTTGGTTAAATTAAGATCCATCAAAAACCAAAGTATGGGACAAATTATAATTTTGACCTGATGATGGCGCTAAAGGAAAAGTCTGGGGCTCATCACAGTGATTTCTATTCATCCTGAGGGGAACATGAATGTCTGTATGAAATTTAATGGCAATCCATTCAACATTTGTGACAATATTTCACTAAAATGAACAAATGTGAACCTGATAGTGGCGCGAGAGGAAATTTAAATATCTCTAACAGGATGAGTGAAAACATCCTGAAATAACCAAAGTCTCCAGGGTTCTTCTTCTGGATCACATGTATATGTTTACCAAATTTTATGGAAATCTGTCCAGTAGTTGTTACATTATATGGATGACATTGTCAGTCTGGACTAAAGTGGACCAACAGACATAGAGCCACGTCATTACCATGGCTAAAGACATTTAAAAGCAGTGAATTTCTAATTTATCAGAAATGAGAAACTTACTGATGTTTACTGAAGACAAGTTGCCTCTCCAGCATTAATCCTTACTGGCACTATAAAATTGGACGGCACTGAATAGACTCATTGAATATGATAATGGCCGTGTTTGATATTGTGGTTTGATTGTATAGTACACGGTTGCTTACTCAGCATCGTCTCTCTCTCTCCTTCTCTTTATCACTTACAGTAAATACCTGATCCTCTGTTTGTTCATCCCACCCACATACACAGCAATCAATCCACGTTGTAATGTACAGTAAATCTCTCTGTCCTTAATATACCTCTGGGACTGCATCTGTCCGTCTTACCTTGAAGTTTATCTTTAGTCTGTATGTCACTCCTTCCTTTAGGATAAGGGCATTCTCCTTCAGAGCTTGCAGATCTCCTGCACAAACAACAACAATCAAACATCAGTCATGGTCAGTAGGACACGTATGACATCACCTGCTGCAGTGTCTTAAAATGACTCACTGTTGCTGATTCACACATAAATCCTATCTCATACTGAGAAATGTAGCTCGCAGCAGCAGACATCAGATTTCTTGAAATTGTAAATAAAGCAGAACTGTATTAGAATAATCTTTTGGAGAAATTGTCCATCTTCACCTCCAAAAGTGTTATTGAAAAATGGTCTTTTATCATTTTTAACATGGTAATTTTGTTTACTGAATTTCCAAGTAAATGAATAACAACGAACATGCACAAAAAGTGGATTTTGTCAGCAGCGAGAAATGAAAAAGTTGCATAGTTAATCAAACATATTAACTTAAAATACAGAATACAGCATTAGAGTTGGTCAATCTCGGAAGCTGTAGCTTTAATACAATAGCAGCTGGATGTATGTTGCTTAGTGGTGAACAATATGATAAATGGGGTTTACTACATGATAAAACTATATGATACACACTTAATCCAGGGGATTTGGAGCATTTTCCTCTCATGTATGAATTAAAGTCACACTTAAAGGTGGCTTTCGTAGCCCAGTAAGATAAGATGTTCCTTTATTGATCCCCCGTGGGAGAAATTCAAGTTGACACAGCAGCACAGGGGAAATGTAGTGCAATACTGACGTGTAAAAATACAATAAAGAATAATAAAATACAATATTATAAAGATATAAGATAAGTCTATAATGAAAATATATACACTATATGCAGTACATAGTAAGAAACATGGTGGGCAAAAATATTTATAACTTACTGTACATGTGCACTTATTACAAGTTTGTGCAAAATATGACTCTAACATACAGGTTTTTTTGTGTTACTGGTTCTTTGTACAATTAAACTGTCTTCGTAGTGCTGTGGGGTTGAATGGGTTCATACTGAAGTGGGGGCGAAGCATCCTGGGCCATTGTAAAAAGCACATCACAATCAGAAATGCATCCACTGCCTAATCACTTTAAATCTCAATTTAAACCTGACCATCAGTCCTGAGTGCTTCCTAATGGACAGAGAGAACCAGAGAAAGGAGGAGAGGAGAGGAGATGAAGGAGAGATAGATGTGAATAAAAACAGACAGCAGTGGTGTGTAGAAGAAGACAGATATGCAAAGAAAGGAAGTGACCTACAGATAACACGCACGCAAACAGAGCATACATCGTCCCCTCAGAAGAGAACTGCGTGGGATTAAAGGTTTGATTCCCCCTGGTGTCACTCGCATTAAAAATACATGCACTTGTGACAAATTTAGACACTTTAAGTAAGACAGCATATCTCTCTTGCCGATGGAAAATCCCCCAACTCTGCTGATGTCGACTGACACGTTCTCCCTTTAATTGAGAATCTACATGTCCTCCTGAGGTTTGGGAGCATTTTACCACCACATGAAACACTTCAAACTCCCCCATTAGATAAAATCAGAAATGTACGATATCAAGCTAATAAAGCTGTTCCTCAGTGGCTGACATTTTTTCACTGCTCCATCTCTGTCCCAGTTCATTCAGTCTATCTCCCTCCATGAACTGTGGTATGTAACGCTCCTATCTCCTCCCTCTGATTCATCGCCTCCCTTCTCCTCTTCTTTCTCTCGTCTCAGGAGACGACAAGAGAAGAGATGCTGGCCTCCCCTGGGAGCGTCTGACTAAGAAAATAGGTCAGTGTGGAGAGCTGTCTACCTGTTCTCCTCACACACGTACGCACACACACGCACACTATGTACTCATGCCAGTATGCACACAAGAATGCACACGCGATTAAATGAACAGCTCACACTTAGCCAGAAAAGCTCAAAATATTATGGAATAAATAATTATGAAAATATTATACACCAGTTTCACCTATTTAACAATACACACAAAAGACAAATGTTTGATTTTATTGGTTTTTTTGTCAAATCATTTATTTTCTATTGTTTTGTAGTGGCTGCATCAGGTACCAGTAGACTGACATTTACTGTAAAAACCTGCAACTTCATAACTTAACAAAAGTGCCCCCACAGAGAACACATAGAACAAGATAATAGGAATAACATTTTTGGTTTAGAGTCAGGTTTATTTTATCCAAAAGTATATAATTTAGATATAAGATGAAAATTATACTGTAAGGAAATCTTGTACGTTTTACATGTATCACATATGACAATTATTTACCGGTAGCATACTCTTGAGAATACAATCTTAATTCAAGAATACATGATCAGTTTATAAAATATGATGCATTCTTGTAAATTAAACTACCCAACAGTATATACACAGCAGTTAATAAAAGCTCCACCTCGACTAGTCACAACTTAACAAAACTGTGGGTCTACCATGCTAGCAGCTCTGTGAAGCTGTATTTAGACACAGTGGTGCTTTGAGCTGATTGCTAATATCAGCAACAAGTTCACAATGACACCATTCTCATGTTCAGCAGCAATAAGGTAATTGGAAATGCTGATCTGATGATGGCGCTAAATGAAAAGTCAGAGGGGAACATGAATGTCTCTATAAGATTAATTAGTAGTAATTATCTATTATTATAAAATATATCTTAACTTAACCCCCTGGACCATTCTGCATAAAGAGTACTTTAGCTTTAACTTACATAAATACATCTGAATTTGAATGCAGGATTTTTACTAAATTAAATAAATGTTGCACTTCTTCCACCAGCATTCATAAACGTATACACAGCAGTCAGATGATAAGTCTCATGTCATGTCAACTGGGAGGCTGTTAAGAACCTTCACTGCTGCAGTTTCAGTGGAGTAATTACACTTAAAACCAAAGTGAAATTAGCCAATAAGAATGTTGCATGACAAATGAGCAGTAGGTTTATCGGAGACAACCCTCATTAAGTTCAGATAGAAAGAGATTAGAGATTGGCCTGTAGTCCAGGGAAAGGTTCAGAGGAAATTCAGGCTAGCATCCAGTTCTTTTGAATTCTTTTTAATGTTTTCTATTCACTCTCTGCCCACGTTTGAATAAATAATCTCATTATTATATGAATTTCACAAACACAATCCTTTTAAAGTGGTCACATATTATTACTGCTATCATATCATATGTCCACAGCACACAATAAATGCGAGGTAAAGATCAGCGGCGGACACAGAGAGGCTAGGCTGCCTGCTTGACGTGAGTGTGTGTGACTGAGTAAATGTGTAGCAGCATGCATGCTCAGCAAAACAACCCTGAAGCCTGAGAACATGAAAGTTTAACAAAGCAAGTGTTTACATTTAGGGCACCAGAGCACTGAAAAGTCATAGTCAAGGATATTGCTTGGTGTAGTGCGGCCTGGCAGCAGGCCACACAGTACAGTATGTGACACACCATATATCATAGGCCAAAGTGTTGTGTTAAACCTTATAGCATGGGAATAATAGGCAGCCACTGAGACACAGGATTGAAAAAATAATATATATATATAAGACAGAAATGGTAGTAATACTATTGCAATGAAATGACCTCACATAGAAGCAGCACATGTTTTGCAGTAACATGATATGATCCCTTTAAAATTTTATGTTTAAGGTGAACTTCTAACCAAACTGGGTCACAGTATTGTGCTTACAGTGTATGCTTTTTGCATGGGTGGCCACATTGGGCAATGAATCCCTATCTCTAGCAGCCATATTGCTGTATCTACTGAGACACAGAAACACATTAAAAGCTGTTTTTGTGCTGCTAGCTCAGCCTGGAAAGTATTTTTTATGTTTCAACGCATCAACATTCAGGGCCATTGATCAAAACACAAGTAACAACTGAAATGATAAAAAGAAATTGTAATTTCTTAAGAGCAAGAGTAAAGTTACTGTCTATTGGCACTGCTGATAAAAGGTGGTGATATACTGGATGATATGTGAGGCAGGAATTCGATGATGAATTCAAAAATGGGGTAGGGCAAGTGTCATGTGAGACTGAGGCATGCAAAATGAGACTGGGCAGATGATCAGACAGGTTATAAACAAGCCAACAGTTTGGCCAGATTAACTAGTTTTATTTAATTATAAGAGGTAAAACTTCCTCTTTGACTGCAACACTAGAACAGTAGGTCAGGGTTTAATTAAGGTCAATAATGGGTTTACAACAGACAGTTTGGGTGATTAATTTACAGTGCTCATTTTTTGTTTCAAATAAGTTTTTTGGTTAAACCCAGGGATTTATTTAAAGGGTTATTTATACAAAATTCAGTTGCCACTGAAATAAAAAAAAACTCCCTACAGAGACAGACCTTTTGTTTTAACCTGCCACCGGACTCCATAGACAAAAATAGTAATTTTACCTTACGATTGTAACATTCATTAACTTCAAAGTGGACAGAAACAAAATAAAACTCACCAAAAACATTTTTGTTAGTCTTTACACTGTTCCAACAATTAATAACTCTGGTTTGGTCAAAATAAATCCTTAGTTCACCGACACAGATACGTAAAACAGAGCGTCGCTCTACTCTGCTGCACTAGGAGCAGACCATTCCTGGAAACAAACCACAGACAGGCTGCAATAGCAACACAAGCAAAGAGAGTGTGATGCCTTTAAAGCCTGTTTAATCATTGGATTGCTTGTGTGTCTAAAGCAATGAATATATTTTACAATTAAGAGTTTGGGGTAGATTTTTCCAGTATTACAGTATATAAACAAAATTACACAATCAGTTATAGGAGACCCTGAATGGCTGTTGTACTGTAACCTAATTAAGTAAAAAATAGGTGTAAATGCACATAAAAAAAAAAATATATATATATATATATTATAAATTGTACTGTAGTGGAGCACAAAGCTCCGAGCACCACCTGTCCTGTTGTTGTCTGTGCTGACAGAGACTCTGATGTACTGAGAGACTTCACACCTTCTGAGTGCATGAGGGACCAGTTATGAACTGAGAGGCTGAGGCTAAGACACAAGCGCCCAAACAACCTGGCAGAAGTTAAAGGTCTCTGAAGGGACAACCAGTCAAGCATGCAGTAAGTGTGTCAGAGTGTCTCCTTTCTCTCCTTTCTCACCAGCAATCATCTAGACTACGGTGCAATGTATCTGACCCTGCGTTTTGCCATCCCTCCCTCTCTCTCTCTCTCTCTCTCTCTCTCTCTCTCTCTCTCTCTCTCTCTCTCTCTCTCTCTCTCTCCCCTCTCTAACTAAACACACACACACACACACACACACACACACACACACACACACACACACACACACACACACACACACACACACACACACACACACACACACATGCAGAGTAGTAAATGCTTGTCATCACTTAGAGCACCATGCTGCATTTGTAACAGCCTATAGTGTATAATGAGGTCTCTAATGCATTCAGCCACCGATGGAAAGTCCATTTCACATCCAGCCTGGTGCCGGCTCGGCTATCTGACTGCAACATGATACACCAGCAGGGCCGATTATTACACTGCTGCTTACTCTGTAGATTAATGATTAAAGATGTTTTTCTCTCACACAGCATTCAGCAGTTTCTCCTTTTCTCTTTAGTTGTGTAACTAGAACACACACATCCCTCCAAATTAAACCTAATCTTCATTTGAACAGTGAGAATATATGAGAAAGACTAATGGTTCAGTTTCAGCAATTTAATGGATACAAGATTTTCCCGGTACACTAGATGACCAACCCTGCATATACAGTACTTTAGATCCTGTGAAATCAAGTCTCCGAATGTCAAAGAGCATTTCCTGTATTGGACTGAAAGGCTTTTTGTCTGCCTGTCAGGACAAAGAGCAGGCACTGTTATGTAGGAATTTAAGCACTGCAGAACATCACATGCAGAAATGTAGACACAAATGGTGTGTGGCTACAGGGCTCTCGAAAGCTCATGAATGGGACCCAAACATGACATTTGTTTTGATTAGAAAAACATGTCAGAATTAATGCAAGAGGAAATGGTCTTATATTGTGAATTTGGTACAACAGGCCCCAGATTAACTGTGTTACAGTACTTCTGTAGAATCACCATAAACTTCTGAAGCCATAATTCAATTCGGTTAAATGATTTCTGCCCATTGGTGAAGCCCTTTTGAGAGGAAAACAATCGCGTTAGCCTCTTTAGACCTAAAGATGGCAATGTCAGCGATGCCTCTCTGTGAAAGGGTACTGAAATCTGTACTAAAGTAGAAGTACTGTTTTATTACTGAAATCTTACTACAAGTAAAATTTTAAAAAGTACTTCAGTATTTACTTTAGTAAGTAATTTCAATGGAAATGGGAGATTCAGAAAATATCTACTTTTAACAAAGCAAATTTCTCTGATAAATGATAAAAGGAAGGAATGGATCAAACTAAGGACATTTATTTTCTGAACAAATATTCAGATAAATACTCAAATGTTTTGGAACCTGCATTGATCACATGTAATTAGTATAAATTTCTCCAAATCCACTACAAACAAACAGCAAAGCAAGGCTTCTAATTGGTCTCCATTTGGTTTCTGTTTCTCCAAATCTTCAGTCCCTAAACTTTGCTGTTCTGGTCAGTGTGGTCACCTCTACAAACCTGTGCCTGCTTCAGCGTATTTCTGTTCATGCTTTTCATTGGGCACCAAAAGGAAGTGAGCAGCGCTTCTGCCTCAGGTTTCCTTGGCGTATTGAATACAAAAATGTAGATGAAAGGTTTAGATATAAATTGTAGTCCTTCTCTGATTATATAGTGTAATGCAGACTTAAGTAAGAGTGAAATTACAGCCTTGAAGTACCCCAAAAAAATTACTTAATTACAGTAACCTGAGTAGTTGTAATTCCACCCCTGCTCTTTGTCCACAGAAAGACTAGATTTCATACGCCATTTGTACATTGGCATAGATATGCCTCCTAAAAATAACTTAACTTATAGCAAAATATGTTAGACATGTAGGATAATATCACTCTATGATTATGTTTTTTTGGTTTATCGACATAAGGAAGAAACATTTATATTGAATGTATTTGTGATCTGTTAACTACCAAAGCAAAATGTTCATATTGAATTCATCTGTAAAAAATTTTTGAAAACTATGTTTTCCCCTCCATTTTCACTACAGCATATATGAGTTTTTTGAACATATATGAACTCAAAGCACTTGATTAAGGTTAAGAAACAATCAATGAACCCACTCCAACCTCCTTCCTACATCTTCTCTGTGGTATAAGAATATAACACATCGATAATAATAATAATGTATTTTAAACTACTCCACTAGTTAAGTACTGCACTTCCATAAAGTTGGGCAGCTTGTAGAAGATAGATAAAAAACAGAATGGTCATATTTGACGCAGCAGAGGCCGAGATATCCTGACGTTTAGTCCTTAGTATGAGTCATTTCCCATAATGCAACTGGATAGCGTCTTTCATTAGATCCTGCCTGCCTGGTAAACACCCACATATTCTTAACCCCACACTTGCAATTAGCAATGCAGACTCCTTGTTAAAAAAATGTAATCTCAAGTCTAAGTCGATAATGCCCTAATGACATCACTATGACATCATCAGACTTGACACAGCTCCTCCAGAGCCACAGAAATCAGATTACAACTGTTTTCATAGGCTGATAAGTTCCCCTCCTGAGGAGTAAACTCAACTTTGTGTGTTTAGTACCCCTTTAAACCCGAGATTACTGAATTGATTTTCCATCCGCCATTCTCTTCCTCCATCATTTATGATTGAGGCCAGATCTAAAAGCATTAGGTCTGTCTGGTGTGGAAGAACCATGTGCTCTTCCAATTTCATGCAATTCGGCAGATCTTCCATTACGCACTGAAACATGCACATTAAAGGCTGTCAGATACTTTCTACCTCTCTGTGTTTGAATCAGTGCATACTACAAAGTCACTATCACCTAGCAACCAGGTGACCTTTCCAGTCTGTGATTGTGTCTTTTTTGTGTGTGACTCTATGCGCGTATGTGTAATTGTGTATGTGATAGGCAGGGAAATCCTAAGACTGAGGAGAAATCTGAGCAAACCTGCATGCAGTGAAACGGACAAACAATCACAGCCTGTCAGCCTGCCATGCATGTCAGTGATAGGTGAACCTACACACACACACACACACACACACACACACACACACACACACACACACACAGATTGTTCCTTTCTTCAACTTTGTCCCCTGTAGGGAGTGACATAATCTCTTCATTGTCACATGATTACCAGGCACACACACACACACACGCACACGCACACGCACGCGCACGCACGCACGCACGCACGCACACACACACACACACACACACACACACACACACACACACACACACAACCATATAAACTTAGAGCCACCTCACTCTCCATCCCTGCGTGTCGCTTTCACCTGCACCCAGGGGAAGATGTCAATACTGCCCACTAAGCAAACATTTAGCTGTCTCTCCTCTCTCAAGCATGGACACACCCACTGCAGTCTTTCTGTACATAAAATGCAGCGTGGTGGGGTGAGATGCCTTGCTCCAGGGCATATCAGTGATTTGGGTCACCATATTGGAAGTGAGGGTACAGCAGCACCATACCACACCCAAAACCTGCCAGGGCTTGTGGTGAATGAAAGTAATGCTGGATAGAGAAGAATAAACAGGGAAGTACCTGTCAGGTCCAAGGTTATTGGTCCAGGAGCCTCGTCACAAAGCAGGGTCAGTTTGGTGACTTGGACATTTGGCACAGAGAGGTCTGGAGAGGAAAAGCAGTTCGGTTATTACAGTATTCAATCATTTCTTAATTCTCATTCATTTGTTCATTTCTTTTGAAGGCATAGTTTGAATTCCTTGATTTGCTTTCTTGCAGAGCTAGAGGAGAGGATCGATACCACACTCATGTCTGTTCTTTATGGAGCCAGGAGATGGCTCTAGCTTAGCTTAGACTGGAAGCAGGAGGAAACAGCTAGCCAGGCACATTATTGTTTGTTTCATTCGTACACAAACAGAAACGTAATAATGACAAGTTGTGGCTTTACAGGAGATTACACACAGAAATATTTCTTCATTTCCTGCAAAAGGTTACAACATCGTTAGCGGTTTTAACTATCTTAATTTAGCGTCTTAGCATGCTAACATTTGCTAAACTGATTTTTGGTGCATTTGGTCATAAATTATGGGTTAGGGTTAGGGTATTGGACAAACTCAAATGTGGACCTTATGGTGGCGGTAGAGCAATTGCATCATCCCATGGGGGAAATTAAGTTATACTTATCTACAAGTTGTACTGAGACATTTCACTCAAAACCATAAATGTCAATTGCATGGTGGCACAAAATCAGGGGGTTACCAAAGTCATTATTCATCCTCTGAGAACCTTGAATGTACAAAAAAGTCATAGCGATTCATCTAGTTAGTCAGTCTGGACAACATTAGTGACGGATACAAGGACGTTCCTAGAAGCACGTAGAACAGCAAAAAATGACGTGATGATGACACTAATGCTTGAGTTTCAGCTTGTACGTGTTAAAATATCACAGTCTATAATAGACATTTGATATGTTGACCAAAGTGACTGTGCACAACTAGTATTGTGGGTTCAGCATGGACGGATTAAAAAGATAACTGGCCTCTGTTTGACAATAAATTCCTCTCGTCTCTGCTTTTCCTTTCCCTCATTACAACCCTTCCTGCTGTACTCAACGTTACTAAGATGCAGATGAGGTGGTTTTGACTTACAGCTGTGGGGGAGCTATTCTACTGATATCAGCTGTCATGGCCCGGCTGCTGGATTAGAGATGCTGAGGCAAGCAGGTCTGTTCCTGTGTGTGTGTGTGTGTGTGTGTGTGTGTGTGTGTGTGTGTGTGTGTGTGTGTGTGTGTGTATGTGTTTGATCAGTAGTTGATGACTGCGAGGAACTATGCACCAAGTCGTTATATTGAGCGAATGGTATTATTAAAGCTGCAGTAACACTGGGTAGCAGGGTGAATCACCAGCTCTTATATCACCTCATGTAAACAATAAATACACACACACACACACGTACACACACACACACACACACCTGCAGTAGTTGGTAGCAGCCCCAGCAGGGTCTGCTTGTACTTGACCAGACTCTCGTCGTCTTTGTCCAGTTCCTGAATCTCCTCCAAAGACTTCTGGGCCGGAGGATTGTAGTTTAAGTTTCTCTCATCCTCTTCCTCCTCAATAGGCAGTTCTGTCTTATCAGCCATTAGACCTACCAGGAAGAAAGGAGGGAGAGAGGGATTATTTTTACAATAATTGTTTCACACAATTGAACAGTCAGTTTTTAGTTCAGTTTAGTCGTGTCTGCATTTGTACTATTACCACTGGGACTAGAGGAAGCTGGATGTTTCAGCCATTAGACTTTTAGCTAGTTAACTATTCACCATTTATCCACGGAGGGGCAACGCGCTATTTCCGCCATTTATCCCTTAACTAACTGTTTATCTATTTATTTTAGCTACGATTACTTTCAGTTCCCATAACCATTTATCATCACTCACTTAAAACAAACAGTTTAATCTATTATTTAACTACAAGCTAACTGTTTCAGAGGTTTATAGCATTACTCTTAGCTAATTGTTTCAACGTTTTATATCAATACTTTTAGCATACTGGTTCAATCATTTATTTATTCACTAATACTATTTATTTATGTTAGCTAACAATTATTTTAGCTATCATAACAATTTAGCTTTATTTAACTACTAGCTAATTGTTTCAATAGTTATCTCCTCACTGCATGTTCAAATCCACGGAGATGAGAAGGAAACTGGCTCACTGTTTATCTAGAATTACTTCAGTTATCATTATCAATAATTATACATTACTTTATTTTTTAATGTAAATTCCTCGATTCTCAGTTTTAACTAAGGTAGCAGTCATAACTTAACAAAATGTTGGTGTTTATGCTAATGTTAGCTAAGTTATCTTCAAACTGTGCTTGCTGTCACTACATATATATACACATATATGGTCCATGTAAGTCACCATATCACATACTTCATTAGACTGCATCCAGAAGACGTTGAAACATGTTTTTCACAAGGCTTAATCAATAATATTCTACATAAACATGGAACATGGAAAAAACATGGAAATAGCTAATGTTGTTTCCTTTTCATCTCCGTTGAGAGTTGGACATGTGCTGTGCCAATCGGGCAGCAGCATAGGGTATAGCATTACTTTTAACTAACCATTTCAGTGACAGTAGGGTAAACTCCTGTATAATGCCACACAGTTCAACACACCACAAACTACATTCTCCAAAATAATCATAAAATGTAATCAACGCCTCACTAAAACAGTTTCAAATTGAACATTATAACCTTCATGAAGGATTTATTGCAACATTGCTGTATTGGTTTTAGTTAGGTGTAGCCTACCTAAGAAACTAGAAAATATAATTTCAATTTTTTGCAAATTGTCTGAGCTACTCCATCTATCATACCCCTGGTTTGGAACAACTGAACTACAGTAGTTCACATGTATTACACACAACAGTGAGATAAATATGTGCAGAATGAATGGATGGGTTTGTTGTTGGTTTGTTGGGAGTATAAACTGAGAGGAATCAGTATTCTACTCTAACTGACTAGCCGACTTCTCTCTGACAGTCACCTAAGGACAATAACATTTGCAGCAGCATTCATCTGCAGTAAATATTTCTGTTATATTTCAGTGATTGAAAACTCAACCAGCACAGGTAAGATTGCTTTACTCTCTGGGATCGGATACATATTACTCTATGTGCAGCTACAGCCATCCAGGGTTTGATTTCATCAGGGATTTTGATTCAATATTGAGTAACACAGACATTCGATAATATGTTCTGCAAGCTGAAATTTCATTTCAGCATCTCCACCTCATCCGAACCTCCAGAGAGTGAATACTTGCAGACTGCAATAGTTACAATAACTGAGGATTTGGGCAGACAAAACACAGCAGTTTTAGGTAAACTGGTTGACTTTTTTTAACCAAAAAGTACAACACAACACTTATTTAAGAAGCTGTCCACACTGAAACAGGGCATTTCCATGTGGTATCATCTTTCATCAAGATTTTCAAATCTAATCAAATCTAATCAAAATGCTTTACACACCAGGTAATCCATCAGAGTGGGCATCATGTCAGCTTGTTGCAGTGGTGACTGCATTACAAGCTTAGCATTGGCAATAATGTAACTTTGCCCACATTAAAAGCAGACATGATGTTAACTTGGATACATTTGCTCAATAATGAATTAAGTCATGACGTTTCAAGTCTTTACATTCATGTTTCGTGTATGCCTTTGTGACATTGTGTCTTTGTGAAACTCTGGCTGCAATAAGAAAGCGCTCACGCACAGTCCTTCTTTCATCTGATGACCACCCTGATGAAGTGGAGAGGCCCTGCATGTATGTTCTTCTCTCATCAACTTATAAAGACACACACAGTCAGATCATTTCCTACAATAAAACATTACATGGTTGCCAACATAAATACACAATGCATTCCTCCAGACTCCAATTATCTGGAGAGCAGGGCACGCAGACACAAACTGAGCTGTGGACTATTTACTGTGCTGTAACAGGTTTGTGTAATAGCCTCTGGTTCTGTTTTTACTGTTCGTAATGAGACAGCTCAGTGTACATCAGCTCAGAGCTGTGTGTACAGGTAATTGGATGACACAGAGAGTACACACATACACCCACCCACACACACACACACACACACACACACACACACACTCTCTCTCTTTAGTCAAAAACATACCCACGTTGTTACAGATTCTGTAAACGCTAGTGAAAATCAAATGTGCTAAACGGGGACATAATGACACAATACAAGTGTCAACACAAACACATACACGCACATGTATAGCCGTGCACTGTGTCTCTAGCAGCACCCCACCCAGTCAGGACCAAACCATGGCTGCCTTTGCCGGTCACCATGGCAACTCTTTCAACTCCCCTTGCAGTGACATCACCTTTGCTGTGGACCTGTTTTATATGACTAAATATGCACAGTGGGTTTTATCTTGCAGCAAGAGAGAGATAAGTTTTAATACAACCCTGCATTCTCTCTCTCTCTCTCTCTCTCTCTCTCTCTCTCTCTCTCCTCTCCACACACACACACACACACATACATTTCCATAAATCTATATTTAATGGGACTTCTTGGTAGTTTTTTTAATTGATATTTAGGCAAAATGCATTTCTCCTGTTTTTATGATATAGGTCAAGTTTTCTTTTAAATAAGACTTCTCTAACGTCACAGTGTATGGCAGTGTATGTTAGCATGGAACGCTACAGCTGATGTTTGGCATCTTCAGTATGCAGTCATCACTTAAAAGGTGGTAATTAATGATGTTTTGTTGATTTTGTGTCCTTAATTTATAAGGATTAGGATTATAAGGATTAGGATAAAGCACTGGTTAGTTTCTCCACCTCACACTTTCTTCTTAAGTTTATCTGGCAGCTTAATTACCATTATCCCCACAGAAGTTTATTTCACATTATTCCTGCTGTCTTTGAGAAAGAGACCTTTAAAAAAGTTCTTTAGAATAAATATTCAACGTATTTATCCTCGATTCTGATATTAAACATTCATACATTGTGAAATGCCACAAATTTGCTTCTTAAATCTGCACACTTTATGTATTAAAGACAACAGCTGTTTCAATATCTCAGGTTGTGCTCTTTGTGTTAGATTCAGTTCACTGGAAGGAGCTGAAAACATGAAGCACTAAAAAACCGATACCAGGTGGCTCACTGGAAAAGGTTAATCTTTTCACACTTCCAAACAGTCTCCAAGCAAATTCGCTGATGTAAAAATCGGCTAGTTTGAAATATTAACACAAATGTTTAACTCTGATTTCTCCCTTTCCCCTCTGCACACAAAAACACACCAAGTATATATAGTATGTCAGATATGGAAGCTACATGACTTCATAAATGATTCAGCCAGATGTATTTGCATATCAAACCCTGCCGCCCGTCCCCACATGAGCGAGCGTGTGCACACATGCAGACACGCTGCAGCGTAAACTGTGTTTCTGAGCTGCTATTAAAACCAGCTTCCTCTCTGACATCTGAGAGCTCCTCTTTGATCTCCAGACTGCTGACCTGTCACAGTAGCTGTATCAATTAACATTTATTTGAAAAGGCAGGGTTTGGTCCACAGAGATACAACTGAGTGTTTTAATATGGATTTCTTTTAGTGTTGTAATATGTGATGGGCTAAAGTCTGAAACAATGAATCTGATCTAAAGACTGATTTTTATGCACTTTTTGAAAAATATACAGATACTAATATTAACAACATGCAAATTCAGTCCCCTTATGTGACAACCTGAAATGGTTTCTGTAACATTTTGTGCATGGAGTACCGTATTAAGATGCCATTTAAAATAGTTTTATGAGAGTGGACCAACTTCTTAGAGAGGTTTTTCTAAACACTATTTAGTTTTATGAGTTACAAAAGGGAGAGGGGAAAAAGTTGTTTTATTATTAATTTATTTAAAAAGCAGCAGAATTAAGAATGAACATGCGGGTCTAAAGCCCTCCATATTGTGTGAATCTGGTGTTAGAAATAAGCTAAACTGTTGGACATATGTGTGTGGTCTTCCAACTGTTTCCGCCCCCTCATCTGTGATGTGATATTAACTGGTGGATTTTCTTTGACGCCCGTAAAATCGCCTCATTACCCCAGTAGCGTCTGAAACCATCTTCTGCATCATTAGACACATGCCTGTTGTAAAATATGCGCTACAAGTGTAAATCAGGACTCTGTGTTCTTGCAGAAAAGCTTAAAATTGCGATTGGTGAGGAATTTAATTCATTTGTTTACCTTTTTTTTTACACAAAAGAATAGTGAGAAGGGACGTGTGTTTAAAGAGGCATGCTGGAAAAAAAACCACAGATAAAACTGAGCCAAGACATCAGTAAATGCAAAATGATTTTTCCTCTTGTCCCTGCATATAAAAAACACAGACTTTTACCCACAACCTGTTGTAACCCTGTCGCCACATCAAACACCATTTGCAGAAGACAGAGGATCCACAGCAGTATGTACTACCACAAGACACAGACTTGTTGTTCATCTGTTGATATTTAATGCTAAACCAACACGCTTAGTGAAAATCAACACAGCAATCTGTTTGGCATGGGAGAGGTGGCTTCAGGGGAAGAAGGATTTGAAGAGGACGGCTCACATGAGACCTCAAACACACAC